TGACGACATGTCCAGTTCCACTTCCGTCCTTTTTTTTTTTTTTTTTTTTTTTTTTTAGGGCGATGGCCTTGAGGTATTATCATCGGACTAACCAGCCCAGGTAAATTCAATCTTGTGTCTAATCTGACAACGGTGGCCTTTTCAGCCCAGGGTGGCCTGATAGCCTGCACCCCACTGGGGGCACTGCAACTTTTCGTGGTGAATCTGGCGCCCATGGCGGCATCTACGTCCACGAAAGTCCAGGTGTACGTATGCCTTAGAGGCGAAGATCGACGAAGGAGGGGAGAGTAGGTAGCACTTGAATCTGTTGTTGGGCGGGCTGCGGGGTGGAATGAAGAAATGTGCGAGCGAGCGGAGCGTACTCAGGGCCTCGCTCCACTGCTCTCGCTACATGAACAAAAGACAAAAAAAACAATGTGCCGGTGAATCTTCCCATGTTCTAGCGAAAGATTCATTCTTATTTTCATTTTGCACATTTGGTGCGCAGTGGAGTGAGGCCTTCACAGAGGGGACTTTTCGGAGGCGAATCGGGTGCTGATGGCGGCCAGGTACGGCAAGGATAGTCCAGGTCGTACAAGGCCGTCAAAGTGCTAGGCACGTGAGGGTCAGTGGTCACGGTCCTATTTCATTCTTGCTCCTGGTCCTTGTGCTCTTACCTTCTTCCCCCCCGAATACAACGTACGGTCATTATAGCTGTATTTGACGCATCTTTCAGTCTAGATACAGCTATAACGACCGTACGTTGTATTCGGGGGAAGAAGGTAGTCGGCCCATGCGAGCTTTCGTCAGGGTAGACAAACGTCTTGGAACATAAAGGAGAATTTGCTGGTCCGAGTGGAGGCTGGGAGGAAGAGGTCATGAGATTTCGCTCTATCACGTGCGCGGTTTGCGTCAGTCTTCACATTTCACACTTCCGCCGACGCCGGCGATGTGTATGGGAATCACCGCAGCGCACTGCCTTTCCTCCTGTTGGGTTGTCCTATTTTCTTCTCGGGATAACGACAAGATAACTTTTTTTTTTTTTTGTCATGATAACTTTGGATTGCGTATAGGTCCTTCGGGACATCCGTTAAAATTGGAACGATACAGAGAAGATTAGCATGGCCCGTGCGCTATAGTGTTTACATTTCACACTGTCGCGGACGGGGTGGTGGATGGGGGGAGGCATCGGAGCGGTGAATGAGAAACAGCGGAGTACAGCACTCCCTCTCCTAGCCGATGGTTCTTTGCTTCTCCGTGTTTCTTTCGACTGTTTCTTCCCGTCTTGCATGCCTTCCGGTTTGCCTTTCCGTTTCACTCCCGGAGTTTTTTTTTTTTTTTTTTTTAAGAAGTTTGTTTCTTTTTTTTAGGCTGTTTCTTTTAAGCCCAACCAATTCAAATACCTGTCCAATCTGGACATGATGGCCTTTCATTCTATTGTCAAGCTAATGAGAAGTTGTCTATGAATGTAATCACGCATTTTGTTAACGCGATTGAAAATGTCAAACCTATTTTAGAAGTAGAAAAAGTCGGAATATACCACCCAATCTGGACCGAAACCACCCAGTTAGTCCCATCCAATGTACCAAAGAGTCGTCAAGAAACCTTAGCGCTCTTCGGTGGGTTCTTGCGCTTGGTGATAGAGTTGGTGGAGCCCGCGGGACTGTGGAAGGAGACGAGTCTGTCCGTTGGTTCAGGGTTTTGCTTCTGCTTATGCACAGGTAATGAAGGCGCGGTAGTCGTGACTGTCTCGTCGTCGTGTTTCCTTCTCGTTCCCAGCATGAGCCAGCATGAGTTCTGTTCGGACTGAAGTCTTATGCTTGCCATTTCGGCCAAAGCAAGTCGGTCCTTGTGTTTTTTTTTCTTAACTCTATATTTCAAGTCACAAGGAAGGAAGACTTTTGCATAACGGTACCTCATTTCATAACTTGATTTCCTGTGCACGGCTAACCATCTGAGCCACAGAGGCATAGGCTTGTGGTGTTAATAGGCGATCCTTCGGCCTGATTTCCTTCTTTGACTGTATTTCCTTCAGCGTAACCTCTCTGGGCTACCTTCTTCCCCCGAATACAACGTATGGTCATTATAGCCGTATTTGGGGCATCTTCCAGTCTAGATGCAGATATAACGACCGTACCTTGTATTCGGGGGAAGAAGGTAGCTGGACTAGGAAGAGACGTAGTGGTGGTCGTATCATGATATTGGGTGCTTTGGATTGTCAGGGCTGAGCTTTTGGGTCACGTCGAGCGTCTGTGAAGATGTGTCTGGCCGAACCATCTGTTCTCTTCTTGCCTGCCTCGCTTGTACTGATCGCTTTTGGCTGCATGCATTGGTCGATAGGCCTCAGGATATACCAGCCGAAACATGCTGCAATTTGATGACGTGCAGCATGGAAAATTCGTCCTTAACCTCGATACCAGCATACGTATCGCAGACGGGAGTGGTGAAAGAGGAGAAGATAAATGAGCATAATGCTGGGTGAGAATGTGTAGCGGGGGGACCTACGGGGGTAGAACCTTTGTCGGTGGAAGGAGACGCAAACCAGAGGGGGGGGGGGGGGGGGGGGGAACGAAAAAAGTAGACGGGAGTGGTGAAAGAGGAGAAGATAAATGAGCATAATGCTGGGCGACAATATGTAGCGGGTGGACCCACGGGGTAGAACCTTTGTTGGTGGAAGGAGACGCAAACCAGGGGGGGGGGGAATGAAAAAATCATTGTCGAGATTTTGATCTGGACCGATTTTAGTGCGCAGCTGCAGTGCTCTGCTACCTCGTGTAGACTGTGAAAACAGGTCATCTGCAGGCAGCCGAAGCAGCAACTGCTTCTCATCCGCTGCTGGTATGTTCCGTTGTTCAGAAGGTCTCTTACGAAACGTTGACAGATCTGGCCGATGGCTTGTTGCCTACACCCAGTAAAATATCGATTCACGTTCGGCAAATGAAAGCGTGGGCGGAAACGTGCAAGAAGGTAGATGCAGGGTGCCCACAAAGATAGATGTAGTACCCCAACGGCAGTCGAAGTGCTGTGCTGTTTCTGCGGTGTTCGGAACAATAGTCACGCGAGCTCAGAGTTGCTGCTAACAAATTTAGGGCTCGACTTCGGGGTTGCTGCTAACAAACCAGTCTGCAGACTGGTAGCAACACCTGGAATCGGTGGGATCAGCCTGAGTTGTGTGCAGTGGTGATCGGTATGAGAACGTTCTCCGTGCATCCGTGTTGACAGAACAACAGTGGTCATCTGTATGCAAGCATGAGGGTATGAGCGTGATGCTGACCAGAAAAAAGAAATCGAAATAAATGGAAGCTATAAACAGGCTCAACAGGGAATGGAAGTAGTACCACACCACATAGAAGTAACTGCAGTTTGGCTTTGAAGATAGGGTCTTTTTTGTGAATACTGGGGGGTCATGGCAAGGTGCTGAGGAGCGGCGTTGGGATGCGATTTGTTTCTTGTTGCTGGCCGGTGTCTCAGACGTGAGCAGCAGTGGGTGTGACGTGGACGATTGAGTACATTGACAGTAGCGGAAAGACCATTTTTTCGTTTTGCGTACTTTCCAAGGTTTCTTCATACCTGGACGATCGAGTACATTGACAGTAGTCATGTGCAGGTTGTCTTTCTTGCTTAATGTTTGTATTCGATACTGATGGGCAATGTCCATTTTTTGTGATTGGTGGATCTCGCTCTCTCTCATTGTCTTTTGCATCCCATGTTGTGCTGTGCAAGCCTATGACCACGCACTCTCTGCAATGCTGTAATGCACAGGACGTCAATGTACCAAACTTGACATGAGAGAGAGAGAGAGAGAGAGAGAGAGAGAGAGATGGAGCTTCGGTTTGTCTTGTTCTCATTTATAATTTTTT